AGAGAGAGAGAGAGAGAGAGAGAGATCAATTGAGAGAGAACCATCAATCAGTGCCTTCCCTATGTGCCCTGACCAGGGATTGAACCCACAACCTAGGGATGTGCCCTGAGCGGGAATCGAACTGGCAACCTTTAGGTGCACAGGATGACACGCAACCAACTGAGCCACTCTGGACTGGCAGAAACCCTTAGTCTTTGAGAAGCTGACTCAGAGGGACAGAAGGAAGGCCTGAAGAAGTGTTTTACTTATTCCCAATATTTAAAAATTAAGGGATTTCACAAACCAAATCTCGGTTTCCAGTTTCTTTCAGGGAGAAAAAGTCAGATGGCCTGGCAACTCCGGATGACGTTTGCACAGGGTAACGCCCAGCTGGCACAGCTGCTCCTTCATATGCGACTGAGGTTTCACAGGCTACACGGGAGCCTGCTCTCCCACGTGGTCCAATAACTACATTATTAGAGACAACCTAGAAATTCCACTTCCTGGAAACCAGTGGTTTCTTGTTCGGGGGACAATGAGGAGTGGTGGACCCACAGCAAACTACGGAAGGACGACACTGCCTCAGCTTGCCTACTTCTTATTTCATGGTCATTACTGAGTCTGTGTCACTGGGTTAAATAAACGGGCACAGCAGACATTACAAAACAAGTGTCAAGACTAGCAGGGGGTGATAGAGAAAGTATCCGTGACAAATTAACTGGAGAGAAAAAGGCATCGCACAAACAACACGCATGGTATATTCCTATTGATGGTTTGAAATATATTGCACATATGTATGCTTGCATATGCACAGAAAACTTCTGGATAGATGAAAAAATTCAGTGCTTCCTACTCAACACCTTTCAACAAGTTTCATATATACATATACTAGTATACATATACACACACATACATTCTCATATTCTTATATGAATCTGCAGCAGAGTCAGCAAACTGTGGCCTATGGACCACCTACCTCCACTGAGCCAAACCAGGTGGGGCTGCTTTTGTAAACAAACTTCTTTTTTGGAACACAGCTAGGTTTGCGCTCATTCACTTACATATCATCTACAGCTGCTTTCCCACGACAGCAGAGCTGGGCAGGTGTGACAGTCTACATGGCTCGCAAAGCCAAAAATATTCACTATCCGCCTTTTTAAGGAATGTTACCAAACCCCAGTCCACCGCCTCTAAAATCAGACGCAGCTACCGTTTATGTACCAGGTGAGGTGAGAGAGCCTGGCTGAATCACACTAACTGAACTCACCTGAGGTGAGTGTGCAATCCATTTACCTGTGAAAACAGTACTTTCTAAGGTCTTCATAGTAGTCCTTACTGATGGAAGCACTTGGGTCGTGAAGGAGCGGACTGCCGTTAAGTAAGGAATCATCCCAAGCTTGGGGCCACGGCTCCAGGTTCTCTTCAATAGCCTGAGAAATCCCTTTGTCGTGCGGGTGGGTGATCTGAGCTCCGTTAGCCCAGTAGACCTGAGAACGCAGGCACACATCCAGACAGGACGCGGTTAATGGAAACGCATCCATTCCCCGCGCCCCCAAACTGTGGAGGGTTAGGGCTCGCCGAGAAGGACATACGCGTGGACAGAAAAATAAAAGTACCTTATAACCATCGTCTTGCTTCGGGTTGTGGGAGGCAGTTATCATGATGCCAGCACAAAGTTTCAAATGCAGCACTGTGTAGGGCTGTCACGGCAGGAAACAACAGCAGTTTTGTTTTTTGGTTTTTTTTTTATAATATATCATCCACTGTGTAGGGCTGTCACGGCAGGAAACAACAGTTTTGTTTTTTATAATATATCATCTTTTTTTTATTGTCTCATTTATCTTTCTCCAACTGACTTATTTCGCTTAGCATAATGCTCTCCAGTTCCATCCATGCTGATGGAACAAGAGCAGTTTTAAACACACACATTAGGTATACGTAAAATGTCTATTCTAGGTATATTGTTTGTATCAAGTTGTTCCCTTTTAATAAACATAATATATAAATATCATAACCTGTCATTCAGTATTTTCGTGCCACACCCAAGCAGTATACTCTTATTACCCTTGGAACTAACTCACTGCTCAAAGTTCTGGGACATGTACCCTAATAAGGAGAATATTTTCCTAGGTGCCTTCTTCTCGTTGTCTTCTACCTGGTAGAACTAGAAAACTCTCCAAACCATAACATGGTCTAATCTTCCATTTCACATTCCTTTAAGCCTTCTTCTTGGGACAGAAGTGTATAGTTCCAGTTTATTTCCTCTCACTGCTTTCTCTTCTCTTCTCTCCCCCTACTTGCTTTTAAGGAAAAAATTATACCTTGTTCATTTATCTTCGCTCCCGAAAAAAAAAGCTCCCTCTCTTGTATTTCTACTTTACAAAACTACTCCTATCTTTACAGGACTACTTCTCAAAATGGGGAAAGGGACCTGGCCCCTCTGTGGCCACACACGGGATTTACCAAGCACAGGCCACCCAGATCTAACCACGTGTCCCTCACCTTCCCATTAAGTGGCTATTTGTCCCCTTAGGAGTTATCTCACATCTGCCATGTGTCCTGGAGCAAAGTGAAGGGAGAACCACTCCATGAAGTGGGAAGTGACCACGAGACACTAATTTAATCCATGTCTGATATAAAAATAATTGCTATTGCCCTGGCCGGTGCTCAATGGTTAGAGCATTGGCCCACGGACCAAAGGGTCACAGTTTTGGTTCCTGGGTCAAGGGCATGAACCTGATTTGCAGGTTACCTCCACTCTGGGGAGGGAGCATGTGGGAGGCAACCAATCCATGTGTCTCTCTCACATCAATGTTTCTCACTCTCTCTCTATCTCCCCCACTTCCTTTCTCCCTCCCATTCTCTCTAAAAATCAATGGGAAAAAAACATATCCTTGGGTGAGGACTAATAATAATAATAATAGTAATAATAACAATTGCTATAAACACTTACATAGTACAGAAAACCAAGGATGCCCAAAAACATTGCAATTTTCCCATCAAACAGTAACCTGAACCATATTTGAGTGTGACATTGAGTGTCCCCTGGGTTATTATAATCTCGAAGGTGCTGCATCTACCTGTCAGTGCGCTAGAGACAGCGAACACAAACCAACAGGAATTACTTCTCCTATATCCATACACTTTCATTTCTACTTAATGTTAAGTAATGGATTCAGATCATGTTTTTGGCTTAATTTCTAAAAAAACATATTCTTAGCATCTGGCTCCACTCATAAAAGTTCTATCTACTTAAAAACAACAGCTGCCACAGTCCCTACGGTCCTTTTCTTTAGATCCTGCTACATTAAGTATTTAATAAAAATCTTACTAAAACATGCCAAGCATGCTTTCTGTACTGGCCATGAATAATATTTAGAATGTACGTTTGCATAAAAAGCTGGTGCACCAACTTGTCAAAAATATTCATGGTAAGACGTGGCTGGAGGTGAATTCAGATTTAGATATGAGAGGTTTTCTAACTGTAATAGCTGGGAAAAACAACTACAGGCTAAATGAAACACACACACACACACACACACACAGACACACCCCAAAGATATTTTGCTAACAAGCGAAAATATCTTTTGAATACAAGAAAAAGGAAAACTGCACTTAAAAATATCAATTCTGAAAAATCAAAAGTTGAACATCAGAGACATATGACTAGGATGTGGGAGAAACATTCCTGGAGCGAAGAAAGGACACCCCATAAATGCCAGGCATTCTCCTGTCATTCAAATACCTGATTCCCGATAGCACGAAAGCCTGTAAAATTCAGCCATGGCCCATCCCCAACCCTGTGACAGGAAATTATAAAATGAACTAGCTACTTACCACAAAAGGGGTTGGGGTTATATCAGAAAACAGGTACACAGGAATCCCCTGAGTGATAAACGTGGTTGCAGCAAGGCGGGCAAATCTGGAAACGCGAGATGGGGGAGAAAGGAGAGGAGTGGTCAGGATGGTGAGTGACAGTGAAGAAGGAAATGAATGCCTGGCCACTTCTCTAGATTGAGCGTAGCAGCCAGAGCAAGGAAAACCTTAATATACTTCCATTGGCAGAGAATACTAAAGCGGGAGGAACCTTGGAAGTCACCTCATTTTATTTGTATACCCGTTTTACAGAAATGGGACGGAAGCTGAGAAAGGCCAGATAACGTGTCCCATGTCCAACAGACACATAGCAGCTGAGCCAGGCCTACACCCAAGTCTTTCCACTCCTGGTCTATCTCAGTGGTTCTTGGCCAAGAGAAGTTCTGCCCCCAGGGGGATTCTGAAACGTCTGAGGACGTTTTTGATCGTCACTGGGGGTAGGAGTAAGGTTCTACTGGGAGTTAGTGTGTATAAGTAAGGGACGCCACTAAACACTCTGCAGGGCAGTCCCCCACAACAGAATCATCTGGCCCAGCATGAAGTCGCATGTCAATAGCGCAGCGACTGAGAAACCCGAATGTAGAGCTATCACAATCCAGTATAGACCATGCAGACTAGCATTTGATTACATGTTATCGTATTGGCTTATGTGTGTGTGTGTTATATATATGTATGTGACAGATATGTATATGACATATACACATCTTAGCTTCATTCAGTCCTTAAAAGACTTAAATGTCACTGACATTTTTCTTAACTTCTACAGCTACTGGCTTATGGTAGGACACAGGGCATCAAGTCTCTATTCATGCTTGGAGTAAAATACTCTACCACATTAAATGAGCATTTTACTTCCAGTGAACAACATTATACATTACAGAATTAACCCGATCATTCATTCTCTTCCCAAATCCCGGGAGCTGGCGGGGCACAAGAGATCTCTGCACTTTTTTAACAGTGAAAATTCCTAAGATCAAGAGTAATACAAAATGATTTTGATAGAAAAAGAAGGTCTCTTCATAGGAGAGAGTGATAAAAATAGAAAAATTCATCAAAAACAAGTTTAATAAAAATCTGAGTTAAATCTAAACTGTATTTCCTAGAATGAATGGCAAGGAAGTCACTTTCAATCTCACGAAACATTCAGACTGATTTTAAAGGCACCTTCTTAAAGTTGGCAAAGCAGACACTCAACACACAGAGCGAACAAAAGTAGGTTTACCATTGTATGTGAAACAGAGTTTATTCTTGTATTATTATTATTTATTAATTATTGCATTCTTTTCCATAGGAACCACTGTAAACCTATTTTTGCCCCACCCTGTATAAATGATTATATATATATATGTATATGAACTAAGTTACAAATGTGCACACAAAAATTCAATGTGTTCTCTGCATATGCTTAACAGTTGTAGCGTATGTTCCCCACCCAATATTTAAAGTTGAAAGATTAAAGAATGAATAAACATTTCCTTGGGTAAAATTCTGAGACTACAGTAGTACCCAACTCGTTAAGAAGATTCCATTGACTGATCATGAGTGCTTTCCCATGTTTAATATTGAGGCTACAATCTCTAAGTGCTTGCATGTTGTAGGTGATAGCCCTGAGCTCCATCCCATCCCATCCCACTCTGAAACCTGAACCATAAACTTAAGTAGAATTAATAACATCGGTTACTTCTTGGAAATAATGTGGCTCCAAGGCCAGAGCAAGAAATACCTGTACTTTAATTGACAATGCTAACATATCTAAAGGATGTGTCAACCAGAAACAGGGTAGTCACCCTGGAATGAAGAAACCTGAGAAGCCAAACAAGCAGAACTAGCCACACATACTGTACCTGCTCTGGCTGGGGGATCTGACCTGCCCCTGGCGTCAGTAAAACATGCGTATGATCTAATTCTAACGGCAAGTTCATGAACTGAAAAGTGACAAACTGCTATTCTGGTTGGTACAACATCACTCTCTTGAAAATGTAATCCATGTGCATCTGTCCCTGAGAGCTACAACTTCTCTCTCACTTTGTTGGGGGAAAAAATCACTTTTTTGAGCCTGCAATTGAAGATCAAAAACCGTAAGTCATCCTGAGTTCAATCTGGGGACTGATGTCATCTAGACCTGGGCCCTAACCATGTTCCCTTCCTCACAGCCACACATTTGTTCCCATTAATGCTTCTCTCTTAAGCTACAAGTTCCTGGAAGGCAAAGATTAGGACTCTGACCTCAAACAGCACAGTAGAGTTCATGAGAATTTCATTAATATTAAATATTTGTGTGTTCTTCCAATCCAAGAAACTACTAATCCTTATACTCTGAAGTGACTAAAATATTCATAATACAGGAAGTATTTAAGTTAAAAAAAAAAAGGTCACATTGCATGATTAAGAGCAGGGATTGGCAATTACAGCTCATTTTGTAAATAGGGTTTTACTGGAACACTGGCATGCCCATTCAGTTATGTGCTATCCATGGCTGTTTTTGTGCTACATGGCAGAATTGGTAGATGTGAAAGAGAGTGTACGATCCACAAGGTATAAGATGTTTACTATTTGCCCTTTAGAGATAAAAGTACATGCCATAAAGGTTGTTGTGAGGATTAAATGAGTAATACCCAAGTGCCTAGCTCACATTCAGCACTCAAATAATTGCTGTCCTGTCATCACTACTACCATCATCATCACCACCATCACACTCATCATCATGACCATCACCATCATCATCGTCACCATCATCATAATCACCACCACCATTATCACCACCATCATCACCATCATCATCATTACCTCCCTATAGTTACATAACAGAGACTCCCATTGGTCTGTGAATGTTATAAGAATAAAGCTTGAAATGGGCATGCAAGAATGAAAGGAGATCATGAAGCTTATGAGTAGTAGAAGAAAAAATTACATAATAATAAGAAAGTGAGAAGGAGAAATAAGGTTGCTACTTAAAAAAATTCAGTCATTTAGACAGGTATTAAATTCTAAATTGTCAAAATAATTTCATTTTCTTAACCCAAACATAAAACCAGAATTCTTAAAAGTTTGCAAACAGAATTTACCCATCATTTTTGTAGTTATGCAATATAGCTGACATATGTTTTTTAAAGGCAGGCGATTGAAATGATGATTAAAAATAAAACCACAGAATCACTCCAAAGAAATACTTTCACAAATATCTTTTTTGTTTGTTTTTGTTTTTTTGTCTGTAAAATGTTGGGTAGTGCAGTCAACCCTGTGATATTCTCCAATAAGGGCTGCTTTCTCCAACCCTTTACTTTAGGAGGACTGTATCAGCAGAGTCTTGCTTCATCAGACTCAACCTTCTTAGTCCTCCAGCATAAACATCTTTATATACCTTTTGCTGCTGCTTCCACTTGCTGGGTGAGCTCGAGCATCAAAGCTGATCACGACACCTCTTTGCTTAAGGTCACTGAATTGTTTTTCCAGGTATCTGCAAAATCCCTAAAAAAATACCCATGGATTACAAGAGTATATATGTTTTAATACATCATATGTGTATGATAGATTGGTCAATTTTTTTCTGTTTCCACAAGTCTGCAAAATCCCTAAAAAAATACCCATGGATTAAAAGAGTATATATGTTTTTAACACATCATATGTGTATGATAAATTGGTCAATTTTTCTCTATTTCCACAAAAGAGCATTGTAGCAGAGAAGGGAGAAATCCCTCAGTAATTAAACAAACTGAACAAGGGGAAAACAACAGCTTTATTTATTGTTGCTCTACTAGTATATGTGTCAGGTAGTATGCTGACACTTAATATCTAATATCACTAACCCTAGATCAACGCTGCCAAGCAGTCCCATTTTTCAGATGGGAAAACTAAGACTCAGAGGTGCTCAGTGCCTTGCCCAGGTACAAGAATAGCAGAGCCTGGGTTTGCTCCCCAGGCCTGGTTAGAGGTATTCAGTGCGGGGTTAAAAGCACACAGTGTCTGTGCGTTTGGACTCCACTCTGCCACCTGCAAGCAAATGACAACTTCCTTAATCTCTTGGTGCCCCAGTTTTCTTTTCTGTGAAACAAGAATAAGAATAGTACCTATCTCAACAGGCTGTTGTAAAGGTTAAATGAGTTAAAAAATATGCCAAGTGCTGAGAATCTAACACCAAGAAAGCACCGTGTGCAGCTGTTAGAAGCACTGTTTTTATTGTTATTTTCCTTTAAAGCCTACATTCCTTCTTTTGCGTTAGTTCTAAGTGCCTGAGGACAGGGGAGTGTTTCTGATATTTCTGCCTGCTCTGTACCAGCAGCAGGTCAAAGGAACTCAATACATTTGATAAGATTTTGACAAATGACTAATCTAAACGTGTTTGTTTATGATATTGTTTTTTATTAGGTAGAGGTCTTAAGGAGGCCCTATCAGTCCAAATACATGACACAGCCAATTATACAAATAGAAATTATGCAGGTCCGTGGGCTAGTACACTTGCCTGGAAATGATAAAACACACAATTCCTGTATCCCAGTGGGTGCAATAACATCACTTCAATCTGAGATACGAAAGATCACAAAACAGTGACCTTTGAATTCAACAGGTTTAGAATACTGGATAAATCAGGTTTTATCAGAGAACAAAGGTTGATCGGGTAATAACGATGGTTCATATCACTTATTTCACTTTGGTCGAAGGAAGTCATTTTTGGTAGGGAGGATATTCCCAGCTTTGTTGCCAGAGCAGCGCCCATCTAGAATGCCTTTAGTTTTTCCTGGACAAAAACACTGTGTTGGGCATATACCCTGAGGTTGAGTGATACAAAGGAAGAAGGACACATGTGTGTTGGTTTTGTGGGTTCCCCAGAAAGAACTGATGCTCACATTCTAAAGCTTACAACAGGGACAGCACCCTCTCCCCGTCCCTGGTCAACTGCTATGTTGTGATCCCAAAGTTCAAGGGGGCAAAAAGCTTTGGCCCCAAATCCTCACATTTCCAAATTGCTCAGAGACTCTGGAGCCTGCTGAGACTGAGGACCTGAGAGCACGGCTAAGAAAAGACTCGGTGTGGGATGAAGGCGGTTTCAGAATTGAAATGTTACCCCGGGACACAAGAAAAAAACTGTGTCTGGCTTCAAAAGGTCCAACTGTGACCAATATGAAAAAGCTACAGAAAGACAGATTTTTGACTCAAAATAATGAAACCATCCTTTAATGACAACTGTTCTCCAAAGACAGAATGGCTGTTTCTGAAGACCGTGAGTTCCCCATCATTCCTGTCTCACGGCTCAGTTAAGTAACCTAAGAGGAAATTACAACCTCAATGAATGAAGCAAACAGTACAAAAATTTCCCTCCAGTCTGTCCTGTTTCCCATTGGGTGTTCCCGACTCACATATATATGCCTCTGAAATCCAACCAGAGGAATGTGAGGGCACCATGAGGAGAGTCCACACCAGAGACCAGCAGGCAGCGTGCGGAGGCCACAGGGAAAGCCAGCGCATTCCACCAGGTCACCCACCAGGGCTGGGAGTGGAAGCCTGTGGTGTGTGTCCTGGGAATCCTTGTCCTCTAATTTGGAAACCGTTCCTAATGTTGTCTCAACTCTTAACACTCTTGTCTCCTGTTGTAAGTGTTCCAGGGTAGGCTGGGTGACCACTTCGGAGTGGTGGGGACTGTGGGGATATTATCCCAAGGGGTAGCTGATTATAAGAGACTAGAGGCCTGTTGCACGAAAAGATTCATGCAATAGGCTTTCCCTTCCCCCGGCTGCCGGCACCAGTTTTCCTCCGGCACCCGGGACCAAGGTCTTCACTCCGGCCGGAGCCACCTTCAAGCCTTCGCTGCCCCGCCCGGCTGCCCCGGGCCGGGTCACGCACACGGGGCACCTGGGCGGGCTGGCCGATCGCTGCTGCCCCGCCCGGCCTCCCCGGGTCGGGTCGCACACGGGACGCCTGCCGCCCTAGGTCACAGATAGCAGGCCCAGATGGCAACAGGGTGGGATGGTGCTGCCCCACCCTACCTGTAGTATGCAAATTAGCTGCCATCTTTGTTGGCGGTTAATTTGCATATTGTGCTGATTAACCAATGGGAGGCGTAGCAAAGGTACGGTCAATTACCATGTTTGTCTATTATTAGATAGGATGACCTTTAAGGGCTATGTTTGCAGCTTAATGTTGTGGGCTTCTTAGCTATCACAGGAGAGACCAATTCTTCTAGGGAAGAGGAGGTATGAGATAAGTCCTGAGACTTTTCTGAGGCTAGACTGCATAATTCCTAGAAACTAGATGGGGATGAATGCAGGAAAAAAGACTCTATGTTCAATGAGAAGCTCATAGAATCCCCTACCATTAGGCCTAATTGGAGGTGTGACCAATTGAATTTTCCAAAGATAGCTACACCATCCCACATGCTTCTCTCATGTGACACTGATGTTCCTCCAATGAGACTTGGGTGGCTACATACCCTCTCCTTCAACATGAGCAGCCTTATAAGGCTCCCTTTTAACAAACACAACATGGTAGAAGTAAGTGATGTGGGGTGACTTTCAAGGCGAGGTCATAAGAGTCAGTACAGCCTCCCCCCGGCACACACTGTCTGGATGCTATCCCAAGCCTCATGCTGTAAGGAAGCCCAGGCCACAGGTAGTGGTCCAGCCCCAGCTAAGATCTCAGCCAAGAGCCAGCAAGAATGGCAGACCTGTGAGGGAGGGAGCTCTCAGGTGATTCCAGGCTTCTAGCTGGCCTAGGTGATGCCTGGGTAGCAGAGATCAGTTGTCCCCACTGAGCTCCACTCACATTGCAGATCTGTGAGCAAAATAAACTGTTTAAAATCACTGTTTGGGGCGATTTGTTCTACAACCCTAGTCACTTGTCGTCTTAGGGTTTTGCTACAATGTGCCCAACTGCCTTTTATGCTGGGAGGTACATGTAAGGTACATGTCAATTTTTTCCAGACTTTTCTTCCTCAGAATTAAAGTGACCTTTATTCTAAGTGACCTTCAAGTCTAAGTAATTGAGGAGACAGAAGAATCGGTTCTCCTTCATTTCCCTCATAAATAGCTCTTCTGTTTTGTCAAAGGCTTCATCTCAATTCCTAAAAGTTGGGTCTATTCCTCTGGCAGCAAAATTCACAGATGAAGGCAAGGGAACTCAGCAATAATTTCCACCCGTACTGTGCATTCCACCTAAACAGAATTGGCTCCAGGTGATTCTGGCAGTTCCAAAAGCTTTCCAATGCTTGCACCTGTACAACCACCTCAAAAATTAGGAGGCCATGAAAGTCAGTCGGCTTAGTTGGTGAATTTGCACTGGAATGGAAGATCCATGAGTCTGTTTTAATCATTATTATAGTCCCAATGTCTGGCACACAGTAGGCACTCAATAAATCTCTGCTAAATGAATGAGCGAATAAATAGCTGCAGGAGTTTTGAAACAAGCACTGTTTCAACCAACTGCGCAAGCCTTGCTTTATGGAATGAAAGTGTGATTCCTTGTGCCTAGACAAACCCACATAGCCTGTGTGTAATTAAAACAAGTTACACTTGGTTTACAAAGGGGGCCTGGGGTTAAGTTACTCAAATAAGGAGGCTGTTGGACTGAGGTGGCTGTAAGGCCTTAGTAGCCTACGGATGCAAACTGAAAGGTGAGCTTGTAAATGACTCAAGTAAAGAAATCAAAACCTGAGCTACAGAAGGAATGGGGTTTCCTTCCCCCTTCCCCATCTAGCTTGGATTACAAAGTTAAGTTTATGATTATGAAATAAAAACTAAACAGTTGTCTGTCAAAAACAAACAAACAAAAGAAATCAAAACCTAAGGACAATCAACCACAAATAGCCACCAAGGCTTTCCCAAATAAGGTAATCACTTGAGCTTTAGCCAATCTCTTCATTTCCTTGCTCTGCTTCTGCCTCTTCTCAATAAGCCTGTCTCCTAGCTCCTGTCAGTGGAGGTTTCTAACCATTTTCAGTAGTTTCGTACTCCCCAAATGGAATAGATTTTTGCTCAGATAGACTTAAAAAATTTTATTATGCCTCAGTTTACCTTTTAACACTGGGGTTATGGTAAGAATAACTAAAACATATAAAAATGTGGTACCTGTGTAGTCTGGATGATGGTCAAGTCGTTCATACGAGCGAATCCTGCTCCCATAGCGGCTCGGAGGCCAGCTGTCCCGAACTCCATGCGAGCCCCGAAACATTTCTGTAGTTCTTCTTTATTGCCCTCTGCAATTAGTTGTTTCACTGACTCCAAAGTTAAAGGATTCTGCAAAACACAAATGTATACACCAATATGGCCAGGGGAATAACAACAAAAAGTCTGAAATATTAAAAAAAAAACCCACAACAATTCTACCCTGGGGGAGGAATATATGTGTATATATATATGCCTCATATGCAAAGTGTCCCCTTGGGAGTTTCACTAACCAGGAGTTTGATCGTTCGCTATGGTGTGCGCTGACCACCAGGGGGCGGCGCGGGATGAAGGAAGGCCCCAGCCAGCAGCCGCTAGGGACCCTACCCATGCACAAATTTCATGCACTGGGCCTTTAGTATATCATATATAGGCTTTTTAATATTTAATGCTGTGGAAATATAAAGCCAGTTCTTTTTAATTAAGAGTGATATTGTGATTAACAAAAATTATATATTTAGTTTTAGAATAGAAATATATAGTATTTAGTCTTTGCCTTTATAGTATAAGTATTATTTCTTTCCTACCACAGCAAGCAATTTGGGAAAAATGGAATGAATTTATAGGTTTTGGGGTCAAACACCCAGAATGGAATCTTAGGCACACCACCACTCACTAAGTCCATTCACTTGGGCAAACAGTATAGAATGTTCCTTACAAAATGAATTGAGGTGGTTTACATCAAATTCATGAAATTAATGTAAAACATCTTTCTGTGCCTGACACTGAGTTGTAATCAAATGTTCATTTTCTTCCCTAATGTCTTCAAATTTTTCCAGAGAGTGAAAGATTATACAATTTAAATCAAAACCTTATTTTTGTAGTGTTATAACTTATACAATGATTTCACATACCTGGTCAAATTTGAATATTGTAATGACTTCAAGAAACAGCCCTAACTGGTTTGGCTCAGTGGATAGAGCATCAGCCTGCGGACCCAAGGGTCCCAGGTTCAATTCCGGTCAAGGGTATGTACCTTGGTTGCGGGCACATCCCCAGTGGGGAGTGTGCAGGAGGCAGCTGATCGATGTTTCTCTCTCATTGATGTTTCTAACTCTCTATCCCTCTCCCTTCCTCTCTGTAAAAAATCAATAAAATATATTAAAAAAAAAAGAAGCAGACAAATAACAAAACCGCCATTTTACAGATGGAGACACCTCAGAGATTAATAGACTTGCTTAAACTGCATGATAAGCAAGGACTTTGGGCTTTTTCTATTACATCCACTGCTTCAAATAGACATTCACACGAAGCAATTCAGTTCATCTTACACTGCCCTGTTCTCTTTGTACAATAGTTGTAGAAAATGTTAAGTGACAGTCACATTAATTCCATACCAGACATTTTAAAATAAGAATTCACAAGAACAATAAAGTACTTTATTCCTATTTTACAGTCATCATCTCACCAGATGAACATGCAAGCGAGTCCACATAATTAAACTTTGAAATGCTATTGCAATAAACCCTTGGCCTTTTGTAATTAAGCCCACATTTCCAGATTATTCCAGATTCACAGGAATCCAATAAAAGCCCACCTTTTGGGCTAAAACAGTGGTTCTCAACCTTGGCTGCACATTTAGAATCACCTGGGAATCTTTTTAAAATCCTGATTTCTGGGCCTCCGGAAATTCTGTTTCTTTGTTACTAATGTAGTGGCCCCACCTCATAAGAAAGAAACTGAATTTCCGGAGGATGAGGCCCAGAAATCAAGATTTTAAAAAGATTCCCAAGTGATTCTAATGTGCAGCCAAGGTTGACAACCGCTGGGCTAAAAGCAATAACCACTCATCACAAAGCACAGTCTGACCAGTCAGATCGGCAGATGCCTCAAAGAAGGGCTCAGGTGTGGCACATAAGAAAGGTTCAATCAATATTTGCCAAGCCAATGAGAAAACAGAAACTTCAAGGCCACACCCAATCTGGTGAGTCTCAGTACCAATGCGGAAAATCCTAATCGGCCTTGCGTGTCCATCAAAGACCAACAGCCTGAGAGAAACCAATGTGGCCCAGAGATAAGAATGAAAAGTCAAGAGGGCAGCAGAGCTGAGAATCAGCGTGGCAGTGACCAAAGCTGACAGCAGGGAAGGCCGAGTGGAAACGCAGGGTGACCTGCCGCCCGTGGGGGCTCAGACCAGAGGGCTGCGATGCTTTCAGCTAGCGGGAAGTCCCCTCTTGCTGCCTGTCTCCAGCCAAAGAAGAAACTGGGAGAAGAAAGAACAGAAGTGGCAGAAATTAAAAAATGAAAAGGACATCCCCTCCCTTCGACCCAGGGAGGTACCCTCTCTCCCAGGGGTGGGGAACTTTTTTCCTGCCAAGGCCATTTGGATATTTATAACATCATTCACGGGCCATCAAAATTCTCAACTTAAAAATTAGCCTGCTCTATTTGGTCAGACATTTAATGACCTCCTCCCTCAGGCTAGGCAGGGCCAGGCCAAATGACTTCTCAGGCCTCATATGGCCCAGCGGTCAGACATTCCCCACCCTTGCTCTATACAGTGACAACATTTGGTGGACATTAGTTGTTTATTTCTTCAAAGGGAAAGTTTTGTGGAACAATTCAGTACCAGCTAAGAGATTTCTACAAACTGCGGGTTATCAGAAATGGAGCCATGTTCCTGCCCTAAGGAATTGCAAGGCTATCTTTCCAGGAAAAGGAAAACCACCCAGTTGTCCATAGCATCCAGAAACAGGATGTGCCTTTCATGTCCAGGGGCCAGGAGCAGAGGGAGAGGGAGGCCTGGTCCTGCAGACAAGACGTGCAATCTTCTCCATTTACTCAGCAACTACTTTAGGTGCAGGTGCTCCCCGATTTTCCAAAGTGTGTGTTACAAAAGACCCGTTAGCCTGTTTTTGCTAACTGGAAAAAAAAAGAAGTCCACAGAGGATTTTCGCCTTTATGAAAAAAGGTGAAAAGTGAAAGCAGTGGTCAGCATTTGTTTGGCAGCAGCCATTAGAGGCAGCGGCACCCAGCAGCGACAGTGGCCCTGCCAAGCTCCTCCCAGGAACTACACTCAGCATCTCAGCCTCAGGCCGCCCAGGCTGTGTGCTGTCTGCGAGCACCTGTGTTTTATCTCGGTTTATTCTGCACATCCCTCAGCAAGCTGTGGCCTACGGGATCAGAAAAGCCGAAGGGCTCATAGGGTGTGTTAGGCTTAGCGTGAAACTGAACGTAATTAAGCCTCTTGACCCTGATGAATGAAATGAAGACACGGGGTGTGTGTGCTGACCTTGCCTGCGTCCACCACTCATACTATCTGCAGGCAGAGAGAATCCTGAAAGCTGCCGCCGTTACTATCAGTTCTGCTACTAGCAGAGTGGTCCTTCCCTCAATGGATAAAACGGGAGAGTCTGCTGCTTGACTGGATTGGCAAGTGTACAAAGCGTGGTGTGTATTTGTCATTCCTTTTTTTCCTGCTTTTACTATAAATATGGTTATTTTAAGCCTTATGTGTTATTTGGTATCACTCAGTACGTTATTTTTGGGGTCTGAGAAGGCTAAGAATATTTTCCATGTAAATTAATGGTGATTGCTTCTTTGCTTTCCGGCCTTTGGGCTTACCAAAGATTTCACAGGAAACCTCTACTTTCGGAGAGCGGGGGAAACCTTTATTTAGTCTGCATCTGCTGCATCTGTCAGGCCCTACTGTATGACTTGTTGGCGTCCAGGGCCAAATGAAAAACAGGACCCCTCGTTCAACAATGTTTAAGAATTTCCAGACAGGACAGCAGAGTGTTTAACCAAGCGCTGGGCCCTCTAGGGGAAGGGGTTCTGTGCAAATCCCATCAGACCTTATGCCTTTGAAATCAGCCCTGGAAGCAGACATTAAACAAATAAACCTACAAATAAGTTTTGTTTGTTTGTTTGACCAATCCCAGTAAGAGCCGTGAAGGAAAAGAACCGTCGGTTCAGGGAGAGTATTAGGGAGAAATAATTTACCCTCGGGAGCCAGGGAAGCCTCTCTACAGAAGCCACTGTGGCCTAAAAGGGGCCACATACTAAACCAGACCAGTTCGGGGGAGGCCTGCGTGAGTGGAGGCCTTACAAACTCAGAGACCTAAAGTAACCACGTAGGATGGTCTGAAATTAAAACTTTTTAACTAAAAGCAATTTATAGTGGATAGTCATGTCCTGGGCCAGTATCTTCCCTGACAAAGGTCAATTTTTACCTTAATAAAGCCTGTCTATTGTCTTTTTGCGTCTACCGTAACATATCCTTGAAATATCAAAGTAATTTTCCTTTTTCCGGACGTCTCAAGCACAGGCACAGTTCTGCAGAGACCTCAAATGCCCTCATTGTTACTGAATTAATTGCTGACAGTTAACTATCCTGTACCCACCTGTGTAAAAGACGGATGTGTCTATTATTGCTCTTTTTCTCCAATCCCAGAGGTTTCCCAGCTTTGCTAGCTCCCACCTCCCTAGTCTGTCACCAATGGATTTCATGTAACCCACTTACTCCTCTTTTGATTGCAATGTATAAAATAAGGAGCAAAACTGCCTACCATTATCTCAACCTGTTGAGATTTTGCTTCCCGGCAACGTTTAACAGTTTGGCTCAAAGGAACTCACAAAAATTCTTCACAGGTTTGAATGTTTCTTCCCCTGACACCACATGTAAGTTCGGATTCGGAACATGAGTGACAGCGTGAGAAACAAGTTCAGCAGAAGTGAGCAGCGCGCACCCCAAGAACACCAGTAGGCGGCAGGAAGCAACAAGTCGGAAGTGGAGACTCCAGTTAGAGAGGAGAGAGGGAGGGAGGCATGTCTGAAGCGGGCTTCCCTCTCTGCTCCAGCATCTAAGAGAGGGAACAGAACTCGGGGTGCTGCGTCCAAGGGCTTCCCTCCCATCAGAGACCTAAGAAAGATGCCTGAAGTCAGGCGGGCCCAACCCATGTTGGCAACTAAGCAGCTGGGAGATGTGGATGGGAAGGCTGGTCTGCAGGGTTCCCAGGAGCCAAAGGCACGGGCGGGACGGAACGATTCCGGGGGGCGGGGGATGCACACCCCACTGCAGAGGACGGGCGGCGAGCGGAGGGACGCGAACGCGTGCAGTCCTCAGACAAGACCCCGAGGCCGGGCGGGTTCGGGCCCACCGCTCTCCCCCTGACTCCCGATCTGGCAGCCCCACC